TATAAACAAATCCCACTTCTGACAAGTTTATTGTTTGGTGTCCTGGTGTGGCACTATGGTTAATGCACTGGACTGCAAAGTCTGTTAGAACTGCAAGGTTGGTAGTTCAAGCTTACCAGCTTCTTCTCAGAAACCCTATACTGGGTTGTTATGGGTAAGAACGAACTCGGCAGCACTTAAGTATAACAACAACAAAAACTAATTGGTCAAGGGTAAATCACAAGAAAAAATAGAAAATACTTCATTATGAATGAAAACAAAATCACAGCATGGCAAAACTTATATAGCAAACTGAGTGCTCAGAAGACTATGGTGGTGGTGGTCGTGGTTATGGTAGTGTGCCATGGAGTCGGTTCCAATTCATAGCAGCCCTGCATAGAGTTTCTGAGACTGTAAATCTTTACAGGAGCAGAAAGCCTCATCTTTCTCCTGTGGAGCAGCTGGTAGTTTTGAACTGTTTGACGTTAGCAGCCTGACTTACAACCACTACGCTACCAGAACTCCTTCATATATACCTATAAATGCATACATTACAAGAATGACTTTTGTGACAAACTGATAAGAAAATCTATAGATTAGGAGACTATTTTAGGAAATCATATGTTGGATAAGGGCCTACCTTCCAAAATATTGTTGCTAGATGCCATCAAGTCAGTTCCAATATTAACAATAGTCCTATGCCATCCTCACAAGTGTTGCTAGGTTTCAGCCCATTGTTGCAGCCATTGTATCAATCTGTCTCATTAATGGTCCTGTCAATGTATGCTGTCATGTTTTTGTAACTGTCTTCAGCAAAATTTAACTTTGATGTGACATTAATAATGTTCAATATTTTCTTCATTCTATTGGGTCACAATTCTTTGGAATGGTACAAATATTTCTAATCACTTGACCAGGTAGATATCTTCCATATTTATTGGTATAGATCAGAGAGTACATCCATTTGTTTAAACATCTCAATTGATATTTTTTCAATTCCTGAAGACTTGGATTTTTGTTTTGTTTTTTACCAATGGCTTCAATGTAGCATGGACTTCTTCCTTAAATACCATTGGTTCTTGATCATATACTACCTCCTGAAATGGGTGAGTGTCCACCAATTCTTTTTTTTTTCCCCACCAATTCTTTTGATACAATGATTCTGTGTATTCCTTCCATCTTCATTTATTTCTTACTATATAGCTCAATAAGGAGCTCTGGTAGTGTAGTGGTTACGAATAGGGCTGCAAACTGCAAGATCAGCAGTTCAAAACTACCAGCTGTTCCACGGGAGAAAGATGAGGCTTTCTGCTCCCATAAAGATTTACAGCCTCGGAAACCCTCTACAGGGTCACTATGAGTAGGAACCGACTCCACGGCGCATAACAACAGCAACAATATAGTTTAATATTTTGCCCACATAACCCTTCAATATTACAAGTTGAGATCTGAATTCTTTCTTCAGTTCTTTCAGCTTGAGAAATATTGTCTTCTTGCTTTTTGGTTTCTAACTCCTGGTGTTTGCAAATGCCAAAATAATTTATTTTATCTTCTCGAGTTGTCCTCTGAAATCTTTTGTTCAGCTATTTTGCTTCAGCATTTGTTATGTTCACTTTACTCTACAGTCAAGAGAATGTTTCGTTGTCTCTGTTGACACCTATTTTGTGCTTTTCTTTTTCTTGACTTTTTAATGAACTTTTGCTTTCTTCATGTGTTTGTTCTTGATGCTATCCCATTAACTCCTCAGTCATTAATGTTCAACATGTCAAATGTATTCTTGAGACATTTTCTAAATTCAGGTGGAATATACTCAAAGTTATATTTTGGTTCTCATGGCTTTGTTTTACTTTTCTTTAACTCCAATGTGCACTTGCGAATAAACAATGGGTGGTTACCTATTGACCCTTGGCCGTGTTTTGGCTGATGACTCTGAGCTTCTCCGTTCTCTCTTTTCACAGATATAGTCAATTTGACTCTTGTGTATTTCATCTGGTGATGTCCATGTGCATGCTGTTGTTGTTGAGGTTGTTATGTGCAATCAAATCAGTTCCGACTTACAACGACCCTATATTGGGTTTCCAAGGAGCAGTTAGTGGGTTTGAACTGCTGACCTTGTGGTTTGCAGTCCAGTGCTGATCCTACAGTGCCACAGCAGGAGT